TTGAACATGTCCAGGGCAACTGTAAAATTTCCTTTCCCATCTTCGTCAAAGACTAATTTCCTGGTATCAGGTTTGACTCCAACAGCAGTCGCATCACCAGAGTTCTTGTAATAACAGCTGAAGGGAATCTCAATCTCGCGGACCCTTGTTATAATGGCATCTTCTTGGACTGGAATTTCCAAGACAGTGTTGCTGTAGATCACAGCACCTTTCCTATGTCTGACGGTAGTGCCGCAACCCGTAAGTGCAGTCTTAAGGGTGTAGTGCGTCGGTGTTTCTTTGGCAACGCAGTTCACATTTCGTAGCGTGACATGCTCACGGTTTAAACCCAGGAGGAGTGTCTTGGGCAGAGTGATTGACATGTCGTTTTGGAGGCAATCTACGGAGACACCCGAGGCTGCAAGAAACAAAGAAAAAAATAGAAAATGCAAAGAAAGATTGGCTCCTTTCCGAATAGAAATGACATAAGAAATAGGCCAGAAATTGTTCCTATCTTTTAAATATCAAATTCGTCTTAGAAATGGAGAATTGTGGGTTTTTTTTTGTATACCTACACAATTCCGGCGATCTGGTGCCAAAGTCAGCTCGGGGTCCGGGCACGAGCAGGTGTAGCTGCCTTCCGTGTTGATGCACTTGTGAGAGCAACCGCCATTTTGTTTTGCGCACTCGTTAACGTCTGCGAGATATTACATTACACATGATCAAACTTCTTCAGTTTCGATATGCCTCGAATGCTAGCTTGGTATAATTTTTCATTAAATAGTCTCTTGTCGATATGAGCAGCTTATGAATCTGCTGAGTATATGCTGAGGTGGTTTACGAAACGATCAATTCTCCTCAAAATAGTTTATACAATTTTGTTCATGTAAACTCTTTGCCAATCAGATGGACTAGCTTGTTTATTCCACAGCCACGGTGGAGACGAACTAGAACAGAATAAATTTGAACTTCAAGAAACATTCAAACATGATATCAAAGACGTCATCGATATCTTACGGAAAAGACGCCATTGGAGTCCCGGATGTAGCTTCGTATCTATTTTACGAGGAGTGTATTTTCCAGTTAAACACTCGTGTGAATAAAAATGTCTATACCTTTGTCGCAGTTAGTTCCTCTGTAGCCTGGTGAGCAGGTACATTCGTAGCCTTTAGGCAAGGTCGTACACACTGCTCCATTCTGACAGGGATTGGGCTTGCAGTCATCAACGACTGCAATGAAATGTGGGATTTAAGTTATCTGAAAAAATATGTATAGTTCACTGAAAATCATTCAATCGTGTTGTAAAAGGCGAACATTTTATAGAAAAACTTCAAGAAGAAAAGCACACTCAGTGCAATGGCATATATCTTAGGATTAGAATTCATCCGCGATTGAACGTTTTTCTATACTAAGTTATTGTGGAAGGGAATATGGCTCTTATTGTATGTGCTCAAACTTGGCTTTTTTGTGAATAATGAAGCCCTGAATGATGTTACAATTAATATCATGGGTGNCTCATTGTGTATACAAAATATAAAACATGTACATAAAATTGCGATCATATATTGACGATTTATTTCACCATATTAACTCGTGACGAGCTTTTAAAAATTTTTTTCTGGTTGAGAATCACACGTGTGAATAACTATAGTCAAAAGATTAATAATCTCGTGCTATAATTATTGTAGCACTTTCCATGACATATTTTCTGCCGCGCTCATGGTAAAAAACGACCGCTAATTAAATAAAGTTCTTAAAACGATAAAATCATGTCACTGAGAAAAGAATGGTTAGACATTTTGATTCACAGGCTCTGCCGATTTCGACGAGTAACAGGCACAATGGCCAATGATTCGATCGGGAAGGGGGTAACAGAAATATTAACAAACTGTAGCCAGTTTTGCATACCTTAACCTTGTCAGACTCCTCGTGACAGTCAAATATTATAGAGGTTGGATATCACATCCCGAAATATCAGTGACTATTTTAAAATTGTGATCCACTCTACTATATTTTAACTTGCCACCTGAGAGCTATCTATGGATAGCTTCGAATCAGCTGTTGTGTGGGCTTAGTGGCTTCCTTCGCTTCGTGGGAAAGTTTAATTTACAGCGACCGGCAAACACAACCTTTGTGATCTCACAAGGATGTTGGCTAGTACAAACAGAGCCCTCAAGCCTCGCGCAATGAGCGCCGAATACAGCTCAAGGAAACGAACGAAAACAGCTCTGCTTTTTGTGATTCTACCTCGTAGTGAAATATCAGCTCAAGGAGAGCTCTACTGCTTGAATTGGTATCAGAACGGTCTACAAGCGAGTGCGGCCGTATGCTACTAATAATTCTCAGCAAAAACCAAAAACATATACTGAAATAAATAATCATATCCGGGTAAGCCCTTTTTCAAAGAAGAAATTAAAAACGAACCTGCAATCACCGAAGTCCAAAGAACAGTAGAAAGCAACACGCCGGTACATTAAGTCACAAACCACATGCAGGCCTGATGCGCGTAACATACAACCTCGTCCCCAGGTCCCTCTCTCCTCCGAAAGATGTTGCATGGTGGCGCGAAGATATGAATATTATTTTCGAGCAGTAAAAACAATATTTTACAAAAGAGCGCAGCGAGTGAAAAAAAAAAGTATTGTTTTTAACACTCAAAAGTGAAATTCATATCTTTAAGCCACCGTGTAATTTTCTTTGTATGATATGGACAAACTGATTGTTTGCACAAACAATCGTGAAAACGAGAGAAATGACGTCATCAATATCCTTACTATGGATGATGTGTAAAATACACCACTCGGGTCCCGGATGTAGCTTCCTATGAATTTTACAATTGGTGTATTTTCCACTAAAATACTCAGTAAAATACTCAGTAAAATCTCACCACTGTTCTACCATAGCTAGAAACTAATTTTCCTCCATGCCAATTGTCTCAGCCTGAAAACAGCCAGGTGTGGCGATCGGTAAGATCACATCTTTTTCGAAGTTTTTTACATTAGCAAACTTACAGGCTATATATCCGAGAGTCAACAGGGAAAAGTCGGTGGATAACTAATGAGTGTGTTACAGTTCAGAGAAAAATTTCCTAGTAGTTTTGCCTCCATTAGTATCTCGCTTTTTCATGGTCAACCTGGCCACCTTTGTTTTGGATGCCCTTGGATGCAATACTAGATGAGAACAAATTTACATCAACAGATATAGACCTGCATAGAAATTTTTACTATTTTTTATTCGCCACGGTGTTGATTACAAAATTCCTTGAACGATTATCGATATATAAACTTGAGTGCTCTCCTATGTTGTTATATCAAAAACTAGCGTTGAGATTGAGTTCTAGTCTTCTGACGTCATCACAGTACATCATTGATACATGAATCTGGGTACTCTCTTGTAAATTGTAACTAAATGTAGCGTGGGGATTAAGTTCTAGTCTTCTGTCTGACGTCATCCACAGTACATCATCGATACGTGAACTTAAGTGCTCTCTTATGTTGTTTTAACAAAAAAGTAGCGTGAAGATTGAGTTTTAGTCTTCCGACGTCATCCACAGAGGAGTGTAAACGGAGACTGCGTTACTTTTCCTGCGAGACAACCAAATTATTCCCACAAGGCAAAGCGTCGATATAACCGCCATGGAAAGGACAGCGGGGAGAGTCATACCTGAAAGAGAAGAGATGATTGGTCCTCTCCCCTCCCTAGACCCTTGTCGATTTTATGGGTATCAAAATTGGGAGCACAAACTAAAAAATGTAGACTATTACTTTTAGAACTCTCTGAGGATTTTGGTATGCATTTAATTTTTTTGCTACTAATTACGCGAAATTTTTGGAGAATTTCTGCTGTACCATTTTTCTCCGAAGAACTTTCCGAGCGTTTCGAAAGGTGAACGATACAGTTTAGGATACAGTAGCGTGAGCGGGCAAGATGGTCCAAATTCTGCACTGTGATTGGCCACCAGTCTAAGCAAGATGGCGCTGTATTTTGCTCATTCTGTAAACCCTATCAACATATATTTGATGGTTTGTCAGTTATGGCTACGCACTTGATGTGTTAAATATCGCAGAAAAGATAAAATTCATAAAATGTAACTTTTATTTTCATTTATATTCAAACTTTCAACTTTTATCTTATAAAAAGGACAACGAAGAAAGAAACTTACCACGCAGAGTCGATTTTGTGCTTATGTCTTTTACGTCACTATCAATTGTCAGCGGTCCCTGTGCTAATGGGTACAGTTTACCGTCACTGCTGACGTCACGTCTCTTTCGGGTTTCTTTGATGCATCCTTGTTTACATCTGGAGTTTGGGTTCCCTGCATCACAGATCCTTATATGGCAGTGAATAAACACGAACGGATGATCTGCAATGAACTTGAAACCTTCCGTGATGAATTGGGATATGCCAACTGCAGTTGATGGTATAACACTGGTCGTTTCATCCACAGGACATCTAGATATTTTAAAAAAGCGTTAACCACAACAACAACAACTAGCTTTATTTGCAAAAGCTGTTGTAAAGTAGTACAACAGTAATGATTATCGTGAACATAATAAGGTTAATAAGGTTATGATATAGCAAGTTACATCGGTTTGATTTGAAAGAAGAATATTGCGTAGATCAAAGCAAGATAAAATGAATTTTGCTAATTGAATATCAACATAATGATTTGTAGAAGTCATAAATTCGCTGACGGCTTAAAACGAAGATAATTGTTTAAAAGTCGGAACGATTTCCTCTATTTTGTTGTTAGTGCATAATTAGAAAGCATTAGAAACCAGCGTGCTATTTTCATTAAAGTAAATATTAAATTAAAAGTTTCTTTTCAGTATCTCTTAAAGGGAATTTATTTTACCAAAATAAATTAATATGAAAAGCAATCTCTTGTCAAAGCCCTGATTTGCTTACAACTCAACTGATTTACATGGAATTAAAGGAGTTAAAGGTTGCTTATAAGAACTGTTTTTAATTACTGGAGGGTTTAATTGACGTGTGTAAATCATGGCTCGAAAGCAAACGTTTACTGAAGAAAGAAAAGTTTAAGCAGGATTTGGATTTTATAAGTTGTACGATTAAAATCGATCGAAGAGGTTATGTTAAAATTCTGAGCTAAAGAAAGATTTGCTCGCATGCGTACGTTTTGGATCGCTTAATCACAAGCCCATTTTAAAGAAACTTTCTGCCTTGAAACAAATTTTAAGTTAAAACTCACCCGTCTCTGATCAGGTTATATTTTGTAGCGTAAGTTCGATCCTGAGAGGGCGTTGCATAACATTGCTCGGCTAAAACTGAAAGAGGTCTGTCATTGGATTTCACTGAGGCTTGGAAGTACAGATCCTGCCTTAGTTTGACTTGCAGGGGGTAATCACTTTGGCTATAGGCTGCTATAAACCTGAATAAAATAAAAGAAAATACGATTAAAATTAAATAAAAACAGTGGTTTTCTATTTCGCGCGTAAAACCAGAACTAGCAGTCACTCCAGCCAATCGCAAAGGACATAGCTAGGCAATCTAGACGAGTGAAAAAATCAAAATTCGTACAAAATGCATATCGCGGTAAAACGTGTTAGAGTCAGTGGCGATTGGTTTTGGTTTCAGCTTTTCAATGGATTAAAAGTGGCACGAAATTTCTTAGCCAATACCGTAGCGAAGTAATGTAAAATTGTTTTTTGATGCTCAAGTAAAAAAGTACTCTATATAGGAAATTTTCCTGACAAAGGCGCAAATTATTAACATCTTACCGTATCTGCGTATGTTGCCAATGCTTAAAAGTGCTAGTAGAAGCCGGCTGTACATATCTGCCAATTTGTGAGGGTTGCAAATTTTAATATTTGAAGTTCCAAAATCCAAAACTAAAAATCCCATTCAACGAAGAGATCAGGGATAAGCAATAAGGAGATTGCCGCTTTTGTATTTTTTTTTGGTCGACATTTGATCGTGAATAAACTGTAATTGTCAATCATAATTATTGAGAGTCTAATAAGTAAACTAAGAAAAATTACGTCAGTTGGATTTTTTTTCTCTCTAAAATGGGCTTGAATTAAAAGAAAATCAGCTTAAGAGATTGATAAAGATTGTCGTTCCTCTTGAACGAAACTGAATTCTTACTAAGTTGTTATCTTTGAACATGCCCAGGGCAACTGTAAAATTTCCTTTCCCATCTTCGTCAAAGACTAATTTCCTGGTATCAGGTTTGACTCCAACAGCAGTCGCATCACCAGAGTTCTTGTAATAACAGCTGAAGGGAATCTCAATCTCGCGGACCCTTGTTATAATGGCATCTTCTTGGACTGGAATTTCCAAGACAGTGTTGCTGTAGATCACAGCACCTTTCCTATGTCTGACGGTAGTGCCGCAACCCGTAAGTGCAGTCTTAAGGGTGTAGTGCGTCGGTGTTTCTTTGGCAACGCAGTTCACATTTCGTAGCGTGACATGCTCACGGTTTAAACCCAGGAGGAGTGTCTTGGGCAGAGTGATTGACATGTCGTTTTGGAGGCAATCTACGGAGACACCCGAGGCTGCAAGAAACAAAGAAAAAAATAGAAAATGCAAAGAAAGATTGGCTCCTTTCCGAATAGAAATGACATAAGAAATAGGCCAGAAATTGTTCCTATCTTTTAAATATCAAATTCGTCTTAGAAATGGAGAATTGTGGGTTTTTTTTTGTATACCTACACAATTCCGGCGATCTGGTGCCAAAGTCAGCTCGGGGTCCGGGCACGAGCAGGTGTAGCTGCCTTCCGTGTTGATGCACTTGTGAGAGCAACCGCCATTTTGTTTTGCGCACTCGTTAACGTCTGCGAGATATTACATTACACATGATCAAACTTCTTCAGTTTCGATATGCCTCGAATGCTAGCTTGGTATAATTTTTCATTAAATAGTCTCTTGTCGATATGAGCAGCTTATGAATCTGCTGAGTATATGCTGAGGTGGTTTACGAAACGATCAATTCTCCTCAAAATAGTTTATACAATTTTGTTCATGTAAACTCTTTGCCAATCAGATGGACTAGCTTGTTTATTCCACAGCCACGGTGGAGACGAACTAGAACAGAATAAATTTGAACTTCAAGAAACATTCAAACATGATATCAAAGACGTCATCGATATCTTACGGAAAAGACGCCATTGGAGTCCCGGATGTAGCTTCGTATCTATTTTACGAGGAGTGTATTTTCCAGTTAAACACTCGTGTGAATAAAAATGTCTATACCTTTGTCGCAGTTAGTTCCTCTGTAGCCTGGTGAGCAGGTACATTCGTAGCCTTTAGGCAAGGTCGTACACACTGCTCCATTCTGACAGGGATTGGGCTTGCAGTCATCAACGACTGCAATGAAATGTGGGATTTAAGTTATCTGAAAAAATATGTATAGTTCACTGAAAATCATTCAATCGTGTTGTAAAAGGCGAACATTTTATAGAAAAACTTCAAGAAGAAAAGCACACTCAGTGCAATGGCATATATCTTAGGATTAGAATTCATCCGCGATTGAACGTTTTTCTATACTAAGTTATTGTGGAAGGGAATATGGCTCTTATTGTATGTGCTCAAACTTGGCTTTTTTGTGAATAATGAAGCCCTGAATGATGTTACAATTAATATCATGGGTGGCGACTGTCAACACTAATTTTATAATTTCACATGGTAAATTACAAAATTGCTATGGCAACGTTTGGGGCGAAATTTCGCCATACAATGAACAAGTCAATCTACATTTCTCTGGTCCCTCTATCTGGAACAATTTGGATGAAGAGATAAAAAGTTTATCTCTGCGCTTATTTAAACAAACCTCGACTGAGCAATTTCTAAGTTCTTATGCTTAATGCTAGTTTAGTATATTCTCTTTAAGTTACTATCGCTCTTAATCAAACAATGCTCTGTCTATAACTGGTACTGTTACTACTTATATTTCTTTTTATATTTATATCTATCTATCTATATATATATATTTTTTCTCTCTTTCTACCTCCTCTTTTCTTTATTTTTCCTACAACCGATTTAAAGCGTAATAATTCTTGTAACTACTCAGCTCGTTTAGTTTTNGAAAACTTTCATGGTTGTCCTAAGAAAGTCTCAGCCAATGTTCTTTCACAGGAAATACAACTGAAGTAGTTTTTACAAAATAATATTGACATTAAATAGCCAAGGGATGACAACTTGTGTCTCAAATTTTCATTGGTTAAAAAAGTGATTTTGTGTCATAAAAGAGCTACACGTTCTTCTCAGCTGTCGCTATTTATATTTTAGCATATTGCAGAAAGAAAATGATGTAATCTAGCGTTGCGGCGTGAATGATTTTAAAATTCTTTGGTTGATTTTGGTAGATTTCATTGAAAAGGTTGAAAAATAGCTTCTTTCTATCGCGAAATCTGTTGATTAATTTTTGAAGTGGACAACAGTGGAGAGAAAGATGATGTAATATGTTTTATTTGGCCAGTTGAATGATTTTCAGCATTCAGTACCATTGTAATTAGCCTTACCAAGAGGGCTATAAAATCAATTCATATCGCCCTCAAAAACAGGTTACACCATCTCTTTTTTTAAATTTGCAGAGAATTTTAACTAGATGTGAAAATCATGTTGCTCGCCAGATGTAAAACACTTCCTGAACCAATGAAAACTCGATAGAAACACCTTTCATATGCTTGCCTATAAAATGAGGGCGATAACATATGATGGAAGTTACTTCAGTTGTTGCTCTGTTGGACGAGGATAGATTTAGAATCGAAGTGGTCATGTGTGCTTTGAAGGTTTTTATCGTGTTAGTGTTTTGTTGTAGTTTACCTACTTATGGCAAAGTGGAGTCGAAGGTTAGCCATGCTGACAATATCGCAGCTCCCCAAAGCCATGATTTTCTGCCCGTCGACGAATTCATAGAGGATTCATCTGGTGGTTAGCACATTACACTCTGTTTTTTCTCTAAAAATATTGTTTTTCAGTCCCAGGTTGAATATTCTTATTTTTCGAGTTTGGGCTGAAAATATTCTTGCGAATATTCTTAGATTATAGGGAATGACTCTTCAATTTGTCGGACTGACTTTGATGCATGGTGTCGAAGTAACTTTCGAGTCAGCGTGCAGGCAATAAAGCTTGATATGACGCACATAACTTCTTGCAGAAATATTATTAGCATCGAACATACGGCTAGTGTTGTTTTTGTTGTTTCTTTGCTGGTTTTTGCCGTCTAGAGGAAAGAAGAATTTTATACGGTTTAGTTAAAAGCATATACCGGTAATCGTATTATATTTACAAATTTTCAAAACAAGGCAAAATTATATCCTTTTTAAATCTCAATCTCTGGCAATTCCTAAAATATTCCTAAAATTTCGCAAATTTCAGCCTCGGTATTCTTATAAAATATATTCTTATGAAAAAAGGTGTCATACTCAGAGGAATTTACTGGTAGCTTTGAAAGAAAAAGAATTATTCCGTTACACGTGTACAATTATATTAATTCCTCAGTTTTCATAGACAACTATCTAGCTAATACAGACTAATTTGACAGCGTTATGACGAAATTCATTGTCAGTAACTGGACAGAAGCATGAAAAACTGACGTCAATTTGTTAATTACAATAACAAATTGTCAAATTGTTCGCTCTTGTTCGTTGACGCATAGCATAAATGATAAATTCACGTGTCTGTCCGCATACTGACAATGAAATTAGCCAATGAGCGCGCGCGAATTTCTGCAATTATCGTAAAAAAACGCTGCAGCTGGCAATGCTTTGCTGGCTTTGCACTCTGCTTATTTTATTCGTGGATGCCATAGTTTTTCATCCGAATGCATGTTTCTTGTACCTTTGCTAACAAAGAATTATTATTTTTTCTTTCTCGTTCCAAATATGTATTTCGTTTTATCTGTTTGTCCACGATCTAGCGCTACTTTTAAATGTACTGACTATCACAGGGGCGTAAATTGGACCATTTCACGATCACTACTTTTTCGTTGCCACCGTGAATTTCTATCCATTCTGTTTTCGCCTGAATCTTTTATTTGTTTAATCCCCAGTGTCTAAACACAGTCAACACGACGCAGTAATTTAGCGGTTTACACCTGAGTAAAGCTAACACTGTCGCCTTCTTCTGGTTCAAATATTTGTTTTCTTTCATCACAGTTAGTCCGTGTGCTGAAAGCCCGTGCAGGAATGGAGGAAAATGCATACCCACTCGTGGTGATAGATTTACTTGTCACTGCACTGAAGGATTCCAAGAAAAAGGTAACTACTCGATAATAACAACCTAAAATTATTCTCTACATTCAAGGTATCCCACGACGATATATTCATTACTTGAAACTGCTTCACGAACGAAGCAAAACGTAAATGTTCTTTTTTTAATACATTATTTTTTAGCATACAACGCGAAAACTGGCACGAGCCAACCAAATTCGGTAAGAATAGCTCTAAGTCGTTTAGATAACAAATGCTAATCATCTAAACACGTTAAATTAACAGCAAGACAAAGAAATCGCGAATCGTTGCATTTGTAATACTGTTTAATCATCAGCCAATGATAGCTCGTTATCGGGGCATGAACACTCGTATCTTCCAGCTGTGTTTGTACAGTCATGCGAACATCCACCACTCTTTACAGCGCATTTGTCAATGTCTATTGGGGCAATGAATTGTTTAGTATAGTCAGTTTTTCATTTGAAGGAGTCAAACTGGTCAATGACAACAACCTTTAAAACATAATTAGCCAATGAGATCGCAAAGCAAATTCACGTCTTCTAAACCAAGCGCGAGAAAAACGCACGTCACCAAACGACAATTCTTTTTGGTTTTGCCTCTCACTGTTTGACTAGGAGTTACCAGTCAATTTTAAAAATAATCAAACAGGTAGTGAAGCAAAATGAAAGCCATTTCAGATTATTTTCCAACTGTAATAGCGAAAAAGCTGCAAGGACCAGGTTGTTCAAAACATAGTTAATAGAGGGAAATGGTTATGAAACTCGACAAAGTTGTTTGTTGTACGTTTTTGTTCTCTTTTTTTTTGACAACCACGTTTTAGTTACGTAACTCATGCATAGTATATGGGCGAAAAACAAAAGATTGTGCACGGTCGTGGACTCCAACATAAATCTTGACATCTTTGCTTGCTCCTTTGATGTTTGCCGGGCTTCATAACCATTCCCCTCTTTTAACTTTGTTCAAAACTGGACTCTCAAAAGTTAAGTGACGTTTAATTTCTCTGTTTACAGTACTTTTCACTGCTAGTTTTGAACTGCACCTCGAGGTTACCACTAGATACAGAAAAATTGTTACCATGAAGGTTAGTGAGGAATTTATTGAAGAAACAGTTTAATCTATGGAGGCGGCTTGCCCGAGTTGGTTTAGGGCACTGGATTTGAAATCTGGAGGTTCCTGGTTCAATCCTCCACCCTGCTGCTATCTGGATTTGTTCTCGGTAGCCCCGAGTTCAACTCCCGCGTTGTGTAAATAACCAGCTGGTCAGCCTCCCATCAGTTGGGATTCTTAATAGTTTATGCTATATTTGAAATATTTGTTTATTTATTTACAGTGTCCCCAATTAGGACATTTAATAGTGCTAAATACATTTGACACTTAAATAAAGTTATTATTATTACTATTATTATTATTATTATTATTATTATTATTATTACCTTACACAAGGTTCTCCGTCCTATTGTGATTGGCTAAACGTAGAAACGTTTCTTCTTCGATTCGGGTGAAAATGTGGAATTTGTTATATTCCTTAAATTAAGAGTAAATTTAATTACATGTGTTTTTTCAGCTGTTCTACGAGCAGATTAGTAATGGTCATTCTTTACAATTTCACGAACTCATCATCATAGTAATTAGTATAAATTGTCCTATTTTGTTTAGCTCAGGGAGTCACCGTGACGTGCCTTCAGAATGAGATGTCCATCACTATCCCAAAACCCATACTCAAGGGAATGGACCGCGAGCATCTTCGTCTCCTGGACTCGAGCTGCAAAGCAACGGAGTCTCTTACGCATTTCAGGGACAGGGAGATAAGCTGGTCCAAAAAAATCCTGAAAATTTGAATTTGAATTTGAATTTGAATTTGTTCCTTTCGTTTATTAACTAACGTGTTATCGACTATACATTCGAAACAAAAATTATCGAAAACTAAATTCCAGCTACATGAGCATTTAGTAAAATCTATTGACGTTGAAGACGTTGAAGTAAGCTGTTTGTTTCAATTTCCAGTTGGAGTGAACATGCCAGTTATCGCTGCTATGACCGCCATGACATCTCTCACTGTGTTCGGGGTAGCATTCAAGGCCTTGAGAAACAAGTTGCGCCATGCCAGCTTTCTACCAACAGAAGAATAAATTAAGATTATAGCTAAACTTTTCCATCAAGTTAATAAATGATAATATACAGATTTAGCCAAGCCTAAAAGCGGAGCTCCTGATTGCAATAACTGGCGATAAAGGAAAAAGAGAGTTATTTTTTCTTGGATCAGAAAATCAAAAAATGATCAATTGTGAGCACGTTATTGTTCAGCGTGTGGTTTTGCTATTTTTTCCAGTTAAATTTTAACAAACTATACCCAATAAGCCTAACCAAGATTGTAGAAATTACGTACGCAATATATATCAGGGACTTTCCATGAGACGATTGTACAAGGAATATGTCAGGAGAAAAGTCAACAACGCGCCAGTTTTTAATTTGCGCCGAAATTTTGCCTTTGCGAGTACTCCTTCCTTGTCCCCCAGATAAATAACGTGACTTAAGCCCGCGATCCAATCGGTATACCAGTAACTGGTCAGTGATCAACTTTAAAAAAATGCGCAACCTCGATGAGCTCTAAACCTGAGCCCGCGATATAGTCACGTGATCCACATCAATTTTCTAAGGTATGGGGCTCCGCTTGCGCGCCTTCGGCGCGCAGGAGCTCCACTATTATCAAACTCTTGAAGATCTACTTGTTATGTTAAATTTGACATTCTATAAGTCTTCTGGAGGAGGGATAAGAAACTTTTCATTAAAAAATTATGCAGCAATGTCTTGGAAAATCAAAACAGTTTCCATTTAGAGTAAATGTGCAGCTTAAGCCGGATATAACATTTGGTTAAGGGACACCTACCTCTAGAACTGATTTCAGTGCTAAAAAAAAAAAAAAATCAACAGCATTTCTTTTTCTGAAAAGAGCAATCTTGACGAGCCAATTCGGTGGCTGGAGCCTGGCGGTGGAAATGCTCTTGAGAAAATCTTGAGCTACGCGCATAATCAAATCTCGCCCTCAGTTGATTTGTCTCGGCGACTCTAAAGGGCTGCATTTTACTTTGAATTACATTTGAAGCAGGTTTGGAGTATTGCAGATTGTTCTAACTTTGCCACCTCCACTGATTTCTCATTATTTCGAACGAAACTAGATCAATTGAAATTCAGATCCCAATTTATTTGGTTAGTATGATTAGGCCTGCGTTTAGCCGACATTGAGTAAAGTTAAAGTTCAAGCTCCTGTTGTATCAATAAACGTGGGTACCATGCGCTTCGAAGTTTGAAACCGTTGAAAATTCGCTTCAGTCGCTTGAGCTGGCGACATTTGTAGTTCAACATTTGAAAACATTATAGTTTGCCACTAAATATTCTCCGATTCTTATTGGTTTAAACTGAACACGTGACGCGATAATGTTCACCCACGGAGAGACACTACTAGCCCATAGTGCCCGTCCGAGGAAAATACCCGGATGGATAGTACTCGTCCGTGAAACTTTTTCTGTAAACAAGCGGGGTTATAGAAAATAAACATTTGAAATTGTAGTAAGTCGGTTTTTGTCTATTTTCTTTTTCAAATTTTACGTTCGGCAGTCACGGCCTTCATCTAAAAATGATGACAATAATTCAAGATGATTTTTGAACCAGCGCGCGGAAGAAAATTTAGTGGTGAACAATAAAGACAATAGAGTGTTATGTCTCGGAACCATCGGTCTGATAGTTGCCCCTTGGAAATCTGATTTTCTTAAAACTGGTATATTTGCCCTCGAAGCTTCGCTTAAGAACATCAAATTTCCGCGGGGCAAGTAACAGCCGATAGTTCCTCGACAGAACCACTCTATTGTTTAAATAGGACATCACGGGCAACCGTTTCCAGCATTTTTCACCACGTCTACTTTGATCAATAGGTCATTACTACCATTCGTTTTCAGTTGACCAAGCAATTATGCCATGGAGCAAATGCGATGAACATACTTGCTGAAACACCCTTATTTTTTTTTAAGTGCTGATAGCTCAAAAATATGTAAGGTGAACTCATTTTGTCATCGGCAGATTGCAATCGGCACGTAAAAATCTAATTTATAACAAAGATTAGGAAAATTTGTGGTAGCAATTTTTGATCCACCTTAGATTTTAGAAAGGCCAAAGTGGTGTTAAACCCCGTCCCACAACTGCATGTTTGAAACTTGGCAAGATATTGTATTTCAAAATGCTTTCTTCAATTTGGTAATAACAAATGAGGGTTTTTGAATTTGTTTCGAGTTAGAAGTACTTAAGGTACAGTTGACGGAATTTCTGAAGTCTGAGATGACTACCAGTGAATACCAATTCATCCACGCTGGACCGGACACGGATTAAATCAAATTTATTTACAAGCAGAACAACGACAAATTATTGATCGGCTACAGTCCTTGTAAGTCGGATGTTTGATTTGGTCCAAACCATCTTTGTGCACGTGCGCATATTTGCTTTAAGCGTTGGAGAACTTTAATTCACCAGGCAGGAATTGCTAACGACATGCAGTTTTGTGATGACATCGAGATATTACCTGATGTCTCCCCTGAACGTACCTCTTGATCCCTTTTCCATTCTTTTTTTGTTTCCCCGCAAAGAGCCTGCCCGCAGACTATACTGTGTTAATCGAATATCATTCTCTGCATGTTATTAAGCAATATTTACAAACAGTCAATTACGCAGTTGACCCCTATATATACTCCGCATTCCATAACATTTTTCTTGCGTGTATAATATAATCATTTCTAACCGATATCGAAGTTAGTGTCTAAACCTCTCTTTTACCACTCAAACATGAAAATATGGCCCATTTCTTTATGTGGTATGATACGCGCGCTCGCAAAAGTTCGCAAGAGTTTAAAAATGAAACGTTCTTTGGACATCTTTTGCGTTTTACGAATCCTTCACGCACTCTGGACTGTTTATAGCTGCTGACGTCACTAGACTACGTGCAGAGGCGCACTCGTTGTAATGTTGTTAGTCATATAAAGCCTAGCACGCTTCCTCCAAGTCACTTCTGAGTAAGTCTTTAACTGTCGATCATGTCCTCGATTGTTAGCGCCGTGTTTAAAGCCACTATCGGCTTACTTGTGAACAAAGGCAGAGATAAGGCAGCAGAGAAGCTGAAAGATGGCGATGTGACAGATGAGAGAATTCGAGAGCTGATCGTACGCGAAATAGACGACATCAAATCCAAATTGGATGGGCTGGCAAGAAGAGATCTTTTAACTAGTATCAGCTACTTCAGGAGAGGTGTTGGGTGCCTTTTTGAGCTGCTCGACAAGGCAGCAAGAAGCAACCACGGTTCAACAAAGAATCTAGA